GTGACCAGATCACTGGAGGAGGGGGCTGACACTTAACTGAGTAACACAGCCAGCTGTGCATGAGGCAGGCCCAGACCCCTAGGCCCCAGCCCAGGTTTTTTTCCATGACCCAGCTCTTCCCTGGCCGTTTCCTGAAAACAAATCCTGAGAGGTACTGGCTGTCCTCCGTGATGACCGGCTGCCCTGCTGGCCCGCCCCTCATCGCCCGAGTGAGGGGACAGGAAACAGCTGCTTCAGGACTGGAAGTTACCCCCTCCCTTGTCTCCCACCGCCTTGAGGGGGTGGGGGAAATGTCAGGCACCCAGGTTGGACAGAGTTGGTGAGAGGGAGGGTTCCCCCTGCAGTGGAGCAGAGTGAGTTAGGTGGGTCAATGGATGCTCAATGGCTGGGGGGTGTTAGGCACGTAGGTGGTCATCAGGCGTGCAAGAGGCCAGCAGGGGTGACCAGGAAGGTTACCAGGTGGTTAGCACAGATGGGCAGTAAATGAGGGAGAGTACAGATTGGGTCCTGCCGGTGGAGGGCTGGACAGACTAGAGGTCCCCAGATAAGCAGAACCCACTCTGAGGGCATTTCCCGTAGGCAATTGACTTCATCGCTTTATGCCTTAGTTTCCCCATCTGGAAGAGGGGGCACCATCCTGCCTTGCAGGATTGTATGTGTGGGGTTTACATTTAATCAGGCAGGGAATACAGTAGGCACTCACTACAAGCTGCTTTCCCTTCCCTGAGGGTGTTTCATGTGGGTTCTTGAAAGCTCCAGATTTCCTACCATGTGCTTTCTGAATCAAAGTTTTGGATTTGATATTTGTCCTCATTAAATGTCACATTAATAGATGTGACCCTACCTCCCTCAGTTTCTTAAAGCCTCCCATCATGTCACCCAAAGAGTCACTCTCCCTTTAGCCCCAAGCTCGGCCGCAGCTCTGACAACCTGGGTGCTTGTGGTTCCACTACAACCTCTTACAAGCCAAGGGCAGAGCCCTGTGGCACTCCACTAGAGACATTCCAGGGAGCCTAGTTTCCATTGATTTGCATCCCCTTGGTGCATCTGGCCCACAGCTCTCTATCATTCCTAAAGGATCGCACAAGTGACGTTGGTATAAATTCAGATGTACAATTATATCTTATTTGCACTCTAAGGGAAAAAATGTAAGAAATTCAGTTTTTGTTTTTTGTTTTTGTTTTAGTTTGTAGAATCTGACCAGATGAGTTTTGAATGAGCCCACAAAGGGCTTCCAACTCTCACCTTCCTCTTCTGAAGGTTGGCACTCCACCCCTGTGAGCATCAGTTTCTAAATTTTCCCCAAGGACTGACAGAAAACTCAGCAGGTCTGGAATGCACCTCCCCCTCCCCAACTCTTGTTCTTTTGACTGCCTTCCTCTCTTTTCCTTTTAATATCTTTCCTGCCTCCTCCTGCCCAGTGGACAGAGGCCTGGCATCTTGGGGGGGGTCCCCCATTCATTCATTCCAAAGTTTCAAGGCCACTGGAGGGAGGAGGAGGAGAAGGCCTTTGTGTGCAGGTGGGTGGGTGGAGAGGACCTCTTGGGTCTACTCACTCAGAGTCCAGGCTGACCCCAGGGGCACAGCCAGCAGGACTGGACCCAGCCCCCAACTCTCCCCTCTGGGGGCCTTTTTCAGGGTGTGTCTGGCAGTTACTCCAAGAAACATGGCCAAGTTTGCCCTGAATCAGAACCTGCCTGGTGAGTGTGCAAAATGGGATACGTGAGTGTGTAGAGGTCCACACTTGGTGCCCAGGTGTGGTACAGCCCTGGAATTCCATCCTTTGCTGAGTAGCCAAGGGGCCCTTTATAAATGTCCATTGGATAATGTCATGGCCCTGCTTCAAATCTGCCTATGGTGCCTTCTCACTTGTGGAATAAAACTCCAACTCCTCATGGTGGCCCAGAAGGTTCTCCACAGTCTGGCCAAAGCCCACCTCTGCTGCTCCTCTCTGCGCTCCCTTCCTTCACTCTGCTCCAGACACCCTTACCCCGACCCTGCTCACTCCACCCCAGGGCCTTTGCACAGGCTGCTTTCTTTTAGGACCTTCTGTCCCCAGATGCTTCCCCCTTCTCATTCAGGGCTCAGTTTATATGTCCCCTCTGCAGGAAACACGCCCTGACAGCCAGAGCCAAAATCCTGCCTCTTCCATTTACTCTGTTTCATCTTGTTATTATTATGATTGTTCTAAGCACCACGCGGAATGATTGTGTTTATTTACCTGCCTCCTACAAGAGGGCAGGGATGCTTGTCCTGTTCACTGGTGTGTCCGCAGCGCCTAGAAAGGTGCTTGGCACATAGTAGACGCTCAGTTGCACGCATGATTGCACTTTTTGGGTGCAGAGAGGAGCTTAAGCCTCCAGTGTGCAGGGTTTAGTGCAAGTGGAGTCGTGCAGGCGTGTCGTGGGCCGGTGGGGGACACGCTCCGTTTGTCCAGTCTCTCCAGGTCTTCTAGGTCTGACGCCCCCCTCAGCCCCTGTCATGCCTGTAGACCTGGGTGGCCCTCGCCTGTGCCCCGGTGCCAGTGCAGGCGCCCGCAGCCCGAGCTCGCCCTACTCGGTGGAAACGCCATACGGCTTCCACCTGGACCTGGACTTCCTCAAGTACGTGGAGGAGTTGGAGCGCGGCCCCGCAACTCGCCGCGCCCCGGG